AGATTAACCTTCAGGGTGGATATAGCTCGCTAGCAGCCTCGCACCGAGGACCTATCCACGTCATCATTTACCCAGAATGCTTTGTGTGCAAATAAAATGGCTCCGTCCGTGTAATAAATTTTTAAACTTTTAGTTTAAAATGATAAAAACTGAACATCTTACAGTATTTTTACAGTCTTTATTTTACAGTTAAAATGTATGTTTATTAAATAAAGTCTAAAGTTACAACTAATCATGGATCCCTTTAACTTAGGGTTGACTTGACTCAGAGTTGATTTATGTAAGGGATGTCACCTGTTCTGAAACTGACATCCCAGGGTGTCACATCTGAGTAAGCCTATGCAGAGTATGTGCTTTTTGCTCGGAGCTTGTTGATCATGCTTTCTGAAGCAGGGCTCTGGTGAACGTTTCTTCACAATAAACACAAAGATCAAAGTCAGAAACAACACCTGAACCCCCTCCCTAAGATACTCATTCTTTTCCCAATACTCAGAGCACCTGGGAGCCCAGAGGCCCTAGGCTTCACTCCCAGTGAGGCCTCTAATGATCAGGTCATGTAAAATTAACCAGTGGAGAAAGCAAAGTCTGTAGCACCAATACATCTTTTACATCCAGACAATCCCTAAAGGACACAGCCTTTAGTGTGTATTATAGGTTCCTGCCTGTTCATTTCAGTTTTTTTTAAAGTTTTTGTCCAAAACCTTTTCATTTTTATAATTTATTACCATTGAAAGCCACATGTTGTTAATCATGGCATTTGCAACTAAAATTGTTTGCTTTATTTGTAAATGAATATTGGAATGCCTCTAGTATGGTTTGTTAWACAAATAGTAGAAATACAATAAACCTGTTTGCAAAATCTAATGAAATTATGAAAATGAAACAACTCCAAACAGTAAATTAAACTCTTCAAAACTTAGCAGAAATCCAATCCCACTCTGTCACTGAAGGAATTACACACAAAAACACTGAAACAATTCTGCATTTTGTTTTATACTGTTTCATCATGCACATTTCTTTTCTTTTGTAGGTATTTATAAATAGAGGAAACTTGTGTTCATTGCATCCTGAAATCTACCATTATTGTCAAATGAATGCTATCTCGATGACCGTATCCTTACTGTAACAGGGTTGTAGGGTTGAATCTAAAGCCTCCTATTAACCCTGCATTGTTTTCAACTACCTTAAGATGGCCCACTGTGATAATCTGTGTTAAACTCCTACCAAGGACCCCCACACTGCAGGCACTTGCAYTGTAGTTCAATAGAATAACAGAGATAGAGCATTTCCCTCATGTTCCATCCCCCATGTGCCGTCCAAGCCCTTTCCTGTTATTATGAACCTATTGGTGTTCTTTTTAAAGAGCCTTCCAACAGTTGCTATAGTTACTTGGCAGTAGTCATATTGACTGCWGTAGGTCTAGTAAAGTCATTTGACATCCAAATATGATTCAGAYATGTATATAAAAACCAATCAATCATTCTAAAAAATTAATTCTTACAAGGGTTAGACAATGAAACTGAAACACCTGTCATTTTAGTGTGGGAGGTTTCATGGCTAAACTGGACCAGCCTGGTGGTCAGTCTTCATTAAYTGCACATTGCACCAGTAAGAGCAGAGTGTGAAGGTTCAATTAGCAGGGTAAGTGCACAGTTTGACTCAAAATATTGCAATGCACACAACATTATGGGTGACATACCAGAGGACAAATTGTTGGCGTGTCTGTGACCAAGACAGCAAGTCTTTGTGATGTATCAAGAGCCACGGTATCCAGGGTAATGTCAGYATACCACCAAGAAGGACCAACCACATCCAACAGGATTAACTGTGRACGCAAAGAGGAAGCTGTCTGAAAGGGATGTTATGGTCGGTGTTTCAGTTTCATTGTCTAACCCCTGTAAGTAAATATATGTATTTCAGAGTTATTTTTTTTCTAATAAAATTTACAATTTTTTTACTAAAATTCTGTCTTCACTATTATTGGGCACTAAATCAAAATGGAGCTTTTAAAGCCAGGAATCTGAAAATGTGCTGGGGTCATTTTAACCAAATCTTTGGTTTGATGTGATGGATCACAAATACAGTATGTTTTAGAATGTTGACACTGCTGACACAAATAATCTTGTTCTTCTCCATCCAGACAATTGCTCAAAGCAGAACATACCCTGTTGGAAGTTGAGGAAGAAAATGGCTTGGTGCAGAGAAGTTTGCAGGATGGACTGAGGGAGAACTACGCCAACTCCAACTCCAAGCCCCCATTTGCCCATTCACTACGCATCAAAGAGGAGGTCCTCAGTCAGAAGCACCGCCTTTTAAGTCAGCCCACCRCTCTTTCACTGGATAATCTAGAGTCAGCTGGTCTGGTAAATCATGGGCAGTCCCACTCCATCCATAGTCAAAAGGGCTCTTCCTCTTTTTGGGGAAGCAAGGCTCACCTTGATAGCCTGATGAAACTAAAGCGGGCTGGTGGATCTCTAAGTGACCTCAAAGACCTGCCTACAGTTCTGCAGAATCATCACCACAACCACCATGGAACCTTTTCCTATAAAAGTTCCCTTCACCATCACAGCCACAATCAAGTCTCAAAGGCCCARCATCATCACAATGAGGGCAAAAGAGAGCAGGGCCACTCACCACCAGTTGACCTAAAAATTCCCCAGGTTCGAGGAATGGATCTTTCCTGGGACTCCAATGCCTCTGAACTGTATGGTTATGGAACCATGGGGGCAGGTGGTCATAGTGACAACACCCTGAGTCGGAAACTGAGAGCCATTCTGCCCAAGCAGAACCGCCAAGGAGGAAGTCTTGGAAGCCTGCTGGATGGGGCAGCAGATTATTGGAGCTCTGATTTAGACCACTCCAATTCTGGGCCTACGTATTCCATCTCTGATGTGGAAGGAGACCCAAACTCCAAGCAGCCAAGAAAGAAGAGGGGTCGTTATCGCCAGTACAACAGTGAGATTCTGGAAGAAGCCATAGCTGTAGTGATGAGTGGGAAGATGAGTGTGTCCAAGGCACAAAACATGTATGGGATCCCACACAGCACCCTTGAGTACAAGGTAAAGGAGCGCATGGGAACTCTGAAGAATCCCCCAAAGAAGAAGCTTAAGCTGATGATGAAGATGGATGCTGGAGGTCAGGATTTAGCCACAGACCCAGAGAACACACCCACTACAACCCCACATGATGACAGCCTGCCACTTGCATCTGCTGAACTTAAGAACAACGTAAATGAGGAGGATGATGACAGTACCAAACCAATTGACTAAACAATTCACACACGTAAACCTCAGTCACATGACACAAGTGATATGACAAAAGATGGGGCTTTCTTTGTGCCAATTACTTTGCAGTATCTGGGTGAGCACAAACACAGGGGGAAAAAATGAGGATTCTTAAAAACAAACTGGAGAAAAGTAACCAATCGGACCATTTTTAACCTGCTTCACATAGGAGATGCTGAACAAGAGTTTGTTTCACTTTTATACACAAGAGCTTAACAAATGCAACCAAGGACAATAAACAAGACACAGTTGATAAAAATTTCTAAAGCATGCTGATAATCCCAAGCCCAAAACCCCAAGCTCCCCACTGTTCTGAACTCGACACAGTGAGTCAATTCTGGGGTTAAAAGTTGGAAGGAATGTTGAAAATGTTCAAAGAACTTTGAGAGACTAGTCAATTTACCATTTCCTTAACTCATGGAAACTTGCTGAATATTACCTCTGAAGCCAACTATAAGGATTAATCATACCATTGATATTTCTCACTAGGGTTCTGAAACAGACCCATTCTCTTATTGCCAGGTAGCCATGATGCTTTAACTGCAAATCTTTTCTTTACTCCTTAAAATATTCTGCTTATCTATGTGTGGATGAAAGCAAGGTTAACCTGTTCTCTTCTGAGCAAGAGAAGATACACAAAAGTCATTCAGGGATGCATGTTTGTGAGTTTTGTGGACACTACTGACTTCTGTAATCAACCTTTTTTCCTCTCTCGTTTCTTTTCTTTTGATTTGTTTTGCTTTCTTTTGCACTACACTTTGGGTCTGGCACTCACAGACCAGGTTACCTCGGCATTGTTGCCCATGCATCATGCACTTATTATGGTCTGTCTCYGAAGCCCAATCGTAACCTTGCAATGGGTCAGAGATGCACATTGCCTCTGAATGCTGAGTCATATTCAGATGCAGGACGTTCTGAATTCACCCTCTCTTTTGCCAAGGGACAACTTAAAGGGTACTCTGACTACGGATCAGATGCTTTTATGGCGGGATGCTACCTCATGGACCTCCATATGACAATGCTGATCTTGGAAAGGTGGAACCACCCTCAKATTGCTTTCCGAATGGTGACAAAAGCGAATTCCCCCATTCCCTTGGAAATCTTTATTGGGTGACAGCCTTTTAGGATAAGAATGTGAAACTGTGCTGCTATCCAGTTCATTTTTGAGCTCCTACAAAGGATTTAGCCCAGGTTGATCAATTTTAGCTTGTAACAAACATATTGCTGATTTTTTTGTTTGTTTTTTATTTTCTAATCAAACTAAGCAGAAGCAGCTTAGGTGAGGGGTTTTTAGAGGATTATTCTCTTTCAAACTTCAAAGATAATTTAAAGGCAGATATGTATTAAACAATGTGCATTTAGAGTGTGTGGGGGGGTCATTTTAGGAGGGAATGGGTAATACTCAGTGGGGAAGGTGGGGTCACTAGAAGTGGGGTAAATGCAGGTTTTAATATATTATAAGTTATTATGACTGACTATGTAAAAGCCAATCCGAAATTCTCAATTCCTTTTCGCCTCATTTTAACTCAGGGTAACTGAGACAGTCGATGTGGGTTACAAATATGGTGATTTCTTGTTGGACCTATCGYAGACAAAGAGGAGGGCTGAACATGCTTCTCACTAATGCTTTTTCTTTGGTAATGCCACATGTTTACTATGGCAGTGCCAGAGAAGAAAGACCTGCTAATGAAACAGAAAGGGCAGAAAAACACAAATGCTGGGTTTGACAATTAAACTTGTGGCTCYGAACCGAAGTAGCACTTTCCAAACAAAGGAGGAAAAAAAAGGTTTTCGATGTAGTGTAGCTCTACTTCTTGAGCAAACTGAGCAGAGAGCGATGAGAAGGGCAGAGAGCAGGAATTAAAAAGCTTTAGTCTGTGGAGACTTTTTGAAAGGCGCAGCTTGGATCCAAACTACACTTTTTTTGCCCTTCTCAGTTACCTCTGCACAAATTAAGAAAAAAGTAGGGGAGAAAAAGTGTTTGACACCTTGAACAAGTTATTGKGTGTAGTGTTGTCTTGTTGTTTTCTCTCCACTTGTATCTTAATGTTCTTTGCTGCTGACACTGCCTGGTTCTCACCCAGTCTGTGAGATTTTTAACATGAGAACTGCAATTCTGCTCAGATGAAATGATGGTTCACTTATTTTTTATAATGTATTGTACACTTTATTTATTTGATTTTGTTTTTGTTCTCTTAAAATGGCATGCACCAGGTTTTTTTTGGCTGGTTTTGGGGCCTAACCATTATGGTTAGAGTAATGAATTTAACACAATCTTAAGACAAGGATGACTAAAGTATGTCATATTTATGAAATTGGTCAGAATCTAATTAGAAATTGATTAGTTTACATCCTGTTGCATATGACCTTAATCATTTTATGTGGTTGTTGTTTATCCACATTAAGTACTTGAAAAGTTCTAAAAACGACTCCCTCTGATAGAGGAAACAATCTCTGGGGTCATCATGCATGAAATGCGTCCAACACTTGACAATGCGAAGCATGTGAAGTGTCTAAAAGGTTGGTTCGCACATTGAGTTGGGTCCAGAGTAGAAACAATGCACCGGTCTGATAGTTAAAACAAATCAAAGTTGACAGAAATGCTGAATTATCCAGATGTGAATATTAGTATTACAAACAACAATTAATGCTGTCCTTGGTTATATAAAAGGAAATAAAGGAAGGGGGTGGTTTGTGGGTGTGTCTGTGTTTAGGGGAAATTCTTTGAAMTATTTCTTTAGCTTCTTTAATGTAACACATGTAAAGAACAAAAAATTCATACACAAATCATGTAATTGGCATTTAATCCACAGGTTTGCATGAATAAATTTAAACAGCACTTAGACTGTTTTTCCCTGAGAGGGCAGTTTCTCTAAATCCCAACAGTATACGTCAATAATTTTCAATAATTTTTATTTATTCTGCTGAATTTTCCCTAAATATTTGTCCATTGCTAATTATTTGTCATGTTTTTTTTTTTTTTTTGCTTGTTATATAAAAACAGTGTTTTTGTTTTTATTCCACTTCCAGCCTGACCTAATCTATGGAGGTGCATGCCATTTAAGGTATTTATTTCTTGTCTAATTGTTTTGGGTTCTTGTTCATCTGGTTAACAGCTCAACCTGTTTAAAATATCCTTCTCTGAGCTGAGTCTCTGCATTTTGATCAAATGTATTTGAGAGAATATTGCACATCTATTCCCATATATATATTTTAACATTTTTTTAAATTGAAGAAGTCTCTCAGTCTTGGCATTGACACTTCATTTTCAACAGACTGCTTATTGTTCTTCTGCTCTTATTACTTTAAGCTGCTTGCTTTAGCWTTGGAAATGCTGCTGTGTCTGCACGCAGGCATGCAACAGTAGCCTTCAGCACTGTAAATGTCTCAGGACTGAGCCCATGAGCTGGGCAGCAATATTGGTCAGTCAGAAAATGGTGCAGACTCAGCTGCCTGCAATGGTTTTATACATGTTTCACAGATGGGTGATAGGTTAACAGAAGAAAAAAAAATCCAAGCTAACAAGGCAGTTAAATTGTTGTGAGGTTCACAATGAGTCCCACTCACAAGATAATTGTTTAAATCAGGGGTTTTTAACCTTTTTGACCTCGATGCCCAATTTGTTGAACATAAAGTGACACGAGGTCCAGTCAGACATTACTAATGTATGGATCAAAACGATAATTATTATAAATCTTGGTTTAATTTTTTTTTGTATTTACATCATAACTAAACTATCATAACTAACATAACTAAATCAAACACACTTACAGTTTAAAAGTAAAACTCCTGTCAAATAATCACAAGACATGATTATTTTTATATCGTAACCCGCCCATAACAATAATTTGAACAAATACAAAGGTCAGTCAACAGACCACTTTTATCAGCACAAATA